TCATTTATGGGCCTAGCTAATTGGAAAAAAAAAGTACAGAAGGCTTTAGTGATTAAGGGATATAAATTTTTCAAAATTAAATTTAAATTTAAGGTCATTTGCTAGCTTTTGTGACCAATTCAAGAATAAAGTTGACCTTTAACTTATATTTCTCTTATTTTTTTTATAAATTATTTTTATTAGTCACATCAGTACTAATACAAGAAAAGTATAAAGAATAAAAATGTATAGAATTTTAAATATCTCTCTACATAACAAATCAGCAAAATAATGTTACATTATTTTTTTTCATAAAGAATAATGTTAAAAATATATTTTGAATATTACTTAAAAAATTATGTCATAACTTGTAATTGTGATCAAATTAATCTTTTAAAATGTAATTTATGAATAAGATTTGAGAAAATATATATATATATAGCAATATTTTAATATAAAATTTTGAAGGCTTTAAATTATATTCCTCTCTCAGTTTTATTTGACCGAGACTTTTCTTTTTAATTTTCCCCACGTTAAATCAAGTCACTTCACTATTGATCTCGATAAAAATGTGGGAATTTAATATTAATACATTGTGGAACAGCGTTGCCCAAGATCGCGGTTTCTGATGTCTTTTCAAAATTTGACTGAAATCGCTATACTGGGAACAATTTTCGGACAATTATTTAGTGAAAAAAATTTAAAATTCACCTCTCAAATATAGAGGCTTTGGTATCATAATCTATCAAACTTGTTTACATCAACGAGGATCAAACTCAATCGAATTGGCCTTTTAAGTTCAAAAAATCTATTGTCAAGTTTCTACTTTAGTGTATAAAATAATAAATCGAGCTTAAAATCATTGGCCCTTATAAATAAATATATATATTAATTTTAATATGAAAAAAATTAAATACCATTAAAAGTCTAAAACCTAAGTTTCATTTCATTCAGCCATCAACTGTATTCTCATTCCTTTTCCCTTTAATTGATCCTTCAATCTTCAATCAAAGGAGAAGAATTTAATTATATTAATGTTAATGATAATAATGCTAGCTGCTAGCAAAATTTAATTATTATCAGTGCTAATTTTGTGATATTATTAATTTTTATTAGATTTAAATTTGTTGTTTTGTGAATTATCTTAAATTTATTTTTCTAAACTTAATGTTATATATAGAAACTTTTTTGTGATTTTAAATATATATTTAAAATTTTTAAATTAAAAAATAAAAAAATAGGGCGAAAGGCTTAAGGGCCGGACCTATAAAAGCTATTATCCTACCTATAAACAAAATTAAATTTAAGAAGTAGAATTGCCGGATTTAAATTTAACAAGTAGAGCTATTAGAATTAAATTTATCAAGATATAAATCCAAATAAGCAGAGTTGTTGAATAGGGCCGGTTTTTAAAGGGCCTTCACCACCACAGGCACTTTTTCTATTCTTCAAGTTAGACCTATCAGTCTCTAACGTGATAGTATCTTCCCTTCTAATTAATATTCCGATTCACCTCATGCTTATCAGTAAGCTGGGAGCCGAAATGCCTAGTCAAATTCAGATCTGCAGCGACTTTAAAGATGAAAGATTGAGGGTCCTCAAAAGCCTCAGTATCAGCCTCCTGAAATAAGACTTTGCATCTATTCCTCCAGATGTTCTAGCAGGTAATGTGCAAGGAGGATGTCCCAAGGAACACACCTGATGGAAGAGTATCCCAATGATTCTGTCAAGTTCCATGCTATTCAGTCCCGTTGCTCCAAGTTGAGAAAATTCTGCGTACAGCCTGGGAGCACATACTCCTCCCACCATTTTCTAGCATGATGGCAGTCACGGAGTAAATGCATTGTGTCCTGCCAATATGAGGCCTCTACGTACAAAGTTTAATATTACTACGTGCAAAGTTTATTATTTAACATCCCGAGTTACTATACCACTGGAAAACAAAAAAAGTTGTCTTTTGCTCAACAAAAAGAGAGAGAAAAGAAAGAAAGATACGTGGCTGTTTATTTTAAGGTCTAAATTGGATATAAGAGGATATACATGACAATATTTTAATCTAACATTTTGAGGGCTTTAAATTTATAACTTGTTTCATTTCTGTTGAGAAATCCAGGAAGCGAACAACATAACAATGATGATAATTACAAAACACAACATTTCTTGTGTTGGAGGATTACAAATAAAATCAATCTACTTGGGTGATGAGCAAACCCCGATAATGGGGACTAACCATGAGATGATGACTAACTTAACCTATCCATTAAGATAGGTTTTCAAGCCTCTAATCTCTAAACATATATATGGCACCCTTTACAAAGAACTTAGTATCCCATTAACTAACAACTAACCTTGTTTAACAACTAATTTTTCAACAATCTCATATATTATTGTTCTCTCAATTTTATTTGGCTGAGACTTTTTTTTCCCAAATTTTCCAAGCTTAAATCAAGTCACTTTCACACTTGATCTTGAAAAAATGTGTGATTTAACAAGAGTAGTGCAAGACAGCATTGCCCATGATCGCGGCTCTCGATGTCTGTCGAAAATGGCAAAATTTGGCTGAAATAGGCAAATAGCTGTAGTGGGAATAATTTCCGGACAATTATTTGTATCATATATGGAAAGAGAACACGTCAGATGCACATTTTTGGGGGAAAAACAACCCCTTGGGAGATGAGCTGAAGGTTCAAAAAGCAGTGGTAAAGCACAAATAGTCGTTGAACCTTGAAAACGGAGAAGGCAATTAGTTCAAGAATAATCAGATTGTGAATTTGTGATACGGCCGTAGTTGGATCATATTTACCAGTTTCCTACCGGTTGTGAGCCCATACACATTGATTTCTAGTTCATTGGTTTTGCTAATCTAAACCGTTTCCTAGTTTCAGTATTTTACATTGAATATCAGATCGGACAATGTACCGGTTTCAAGTCAAACAAGTCCATCCACTCGAGTTTTTAAATATCTATACACATAATCAATTTACACTTGTTGGATAAATCTGGAATCATATAATAGGTCGATACCAAAAGGAAAAAATAGAACTTTTGGTCTCTTTAAATTTACTTTAATTATTTATTTGGTTCTTGGAATTTAATTTTTTTTCAATCAAGCTTTTTAATTTTATACACATTTTCATATATTCATTTAATATTATGGGACAATTAATTTTTCGGGCAATTCTTGAAGAGGGTATCAAGTGTGTTTGAATTTCAATTGGGTATAATTAATTATGAAAAAATTAATTAATATGATTAATTTGAAATATAATTAATTATATTATGTGATATAAAATTAATTAATAAGATTAATTTTAATCAAAATTAAAAAGTACAATTGAAAAGGAAAAATTGAAAATAAGGTAAAACCATGATTTTGTAAAAATATATCCAAATACACATGTTACATGTTGAAATTAATTATGAATCCAAAACCATGGTTTAAAAAAAATATCTAAACACTCATTATACATGCCAAAATTAATTATGAACTCAAAGCCATAATTTTTTTAAAAAATATCCAAACATCCACATACATGCCAAAATCAATTATAAACACAAAACTATGGTTATCTCATAAGCTATTATTACTTGCTTTTCAATTCAATTTTTCAATTATACATTTCTAAAAATTTATCCAAAAATCATATAAATTATTTTACAAATCATATTTTTATGGTTCATAATTGATTTTGATATAATAAGAGGTGTTTGGATATTTTAAAAAAAAATCATGGTTTTAGATTCATAATTAATTTTAACATGTATAATGGGTATTTAGATATTTTTAAGAAAACATGATTTTAAATTTAAAATTGATTTTAAAATTATTTGAGTAATTTTTGTCAAAACGTGATTTTCATATAATTAATTAATTTTAAATGCAAATTCAAACAGACACATCATCCTTTGAGTTAAAGGTCACACCACACGGTAAGAGTAAATTAGACTTTAGTTGGAAATTTGCAATCACGTGCATTGCTGCCAATACAAACTAAATTTTTAATTAAAAACAGATATTTCTTCACATTTAGTTTGTATCGTGCGAAAAATGACATTATTGATTGATGCCCCGACGGGAAAAATAAAGAATACGACAGGGGACAAATTATTATTTAAAAATGAGCACTTTATTAAAGTTAATTAATAGGTGTGGTCACTTTCACCCAGCAACCAAGCCTGCCCAATTAATGGTTACCCGTATCCTTCTGTATTTTTGGCATTCCGGATCGATCAGTTGATTTAATCTAATAAAATTTTAAAGCATGACATTAATAAAATATTTTTATTACGATTGGTCTAGTGAAAAATGTTCTCAGATCATATGAAGGCCAATAATTTTTCAGGCAACAGTACGTAAAATGGACAAGGTGAATCCTTTCAAGCTACGGGAAAATGAATACTCTGTTCTGTTCCAATTAATTTAACAGCCTTTTCCTCTGCATATATATACCACTTTAAACACTGGTTTTACTCATAATCAGTTTACATATTGGATGAAATCAGGCTTCATGATAGATTGATAATAAAATGAAACGACCGTAAACTTGAACTTTGTTTTTTTTTTTTTCTGGCCAGAAACCAACATGTGGATGTTTATTTTAAGGTCTAAGTTGGAAGAAGAATCATTATTGATGAAAACTCATTGGTTTTTTTAACCTACGAAAGCTCCCAATTTCATTAATACGAAATACTAAATTAACAGTCTAATGCTTTGACTGATGACAACCCAAAGCACGATTTTGGGAATACTTCCTGACTACAGCAAAGAGGGAAGGCACAAAAACACACACTGATTCTACTATTATTTTCACACTCTGGAGATGGCTACGAAGCCCGGAGGAGCCAGAGGTGTTTTTTTCTGCATATCAAACCACCATGGATATGCCACCAGATTCCACGTCCTCACTAGTTGCTTTGACAAGCTTGAATATCACTGGACGTACGCTTCTGTCCTGTGTGACGACCAAACGGTAGTTGCTATACTTATCCAGCTTCAAAGCAACATATCCACACGAGGATGTTCAGTAACAGAAGACGAAGCTATAGAACTGGGTAGACTCATATTTCTTGATGTAGAAATAACCAGAACGAGGAACTGAAAATTCTTCAGGCTTACCAACCATCACCGGATCTGTGTCCAAGCCAGTGACACTTGCGACGATCCAACTGGGTGAGTGAGTGCAGGCATTTGAAGGCAATCTGGCGAACGATACGTTTAAGGGATGGTCGTCGGAGATGTGAAACAAACGGTATGGCGTCCCGATTTTCACTGCCCAGCCATTCTCGTTCAATGGTTCTGCAACGACAGCAAGGTAGCACGACCTACTTTTAGGCTTGTTAATGGTAGCACCCTTAATTGCTCCGCCTCCTTCACGACGGGGCAATAAGTAGTACTTGCCTCCATTGCTTACAATGTCACCGTCGGAGTCATATATAAACTCAGCTCCGGTGAAGGCAAAGAGAGCAAGGAAGAAGGAGGATGCAAGCAGTGCGCTAGTGTTCATTGTTTGCTAGGTTGCTCGAGGGAGACTCAAGGGTTAGTTTTGGGTGTGAGGAATTGGCAAGAAGGAGCATTTACTTATAGAGAGAAAATGTCACCCAAGTTATTTGAGTTCCTACATTTTTTTTTTTGAAAAATATAATTTTTAATTCTTATATTTTATTCATATTTTACTTTTAATTTTTATATTTTTTTATATTTTAGATTCCTACACTTTTATTTTTTATTATTTTCAATCTCTCTATAAACAAAATATAGGGACATTAGAAAGATCCAAAACAATGAAAAATAGAGTTGTCTAGATTTAAAATACTAAAAAAAATATAAAATTAAAAGTAAAATGTAAGCAAAATACAATGACCAAAAGTTATATTTATTCATTTTTTTAGTACTTTTAATTTATATAATTTTAAGAAGACTGGATGACCATTATTTTTAGATCCCTATAATTTTTATTTTTCAGTGATTTTAATTCTTATAAAAACTAAAAACACTAGAAAAAATCACAGGAATTAAAAGCAAAACTCAATAAAATTACAAGGGCCAAAGACTATTTTCTTTTTTTTTTTAATAGTCATAATATTATCAAGTCAAATATTTTTAGCATTTATTTAATGAAGGCTAAAGTATATTTTAATTGTCTGACCTTGTATAAAATTTTAATTTATTTTTTAATTTCATAAAGTATCTTTTTAATTTTTTAATCATAACATTATTAGTTTTAAATAATTATTTTTATCAATCATTATTATTTTAAAAAAATTAAACTTAGAATGTCAAAATTTGAAAGTATTTTGTAATAAAACAAACTATATTAAGTTTAAAGGAATAAAAATACACTATAGAAAATTAAGACATCAAAATAAAGAGATTAAAAGACTTAAGATATACTTCAACCTTTATTATATTTTAAATTACAGGCTAGTAACTTGACACATTTATGGAGCTCAGTCCCCCCATGAACTGATAGTAAAACCTTTTTCGCCGTTGTCCATAGGTTTTTTCTTTGAGGTAATTTTGTTCTTAGTGGCAGTCACCAAATGAAATTTTAATTCTAATTTCAATTTTGTCCTAACAATGTTTAGTTCACGCATTCTGCTGGTGATGAAAAATTGGGTGAGATGAAAAACTTTCATGAATTCCGATGCTCCTCATTTCCCGGAAGAGTGAATCATACAAAGGAAGAAAAAGATTTCAAATTTCCGTGAAAGGTAAAATCTCAAGGAGTATTCAGGCCAACATCGTTTTTTTTTTTCTTTCAACTTTTATTATTACTTTCACTCGTTGAATAAAAACATTCAAGGAAAGATTAATTTGGCATGAAAATATCGCTTTGATTTGTAAATTAATGTTTCTTAAATTATCCTATGCTACTAGGCTATTACTTAATGGTGAATGATATTATTCGGGGAGCTTCTGTTGCCATCACGTGATCTGCCTCGATTTTAAAACTACATTGTTGGTCAATCTGGTCTGCAGAGAAAAAGCTGTCGGTCTTGAACGGAACAGAGTCACAACTTTCACATGCTTCAAAATGGGCCGGTACATACTCTCTCCTGTCGCATTTATACGTACATTTTAAAAAATTAATTTAATTTTTATTTACTTTCCTTATTAAAAAAATATTAAAAAAAAATTTAAGAATTGTAGAGGATTAAAAATATAATTATTTTTTTAAAAATATCTCTATTAAATAAATTATGTTATATTTTTTAAGGTGAATATTTTATTAAATAAGGATAAATATAAAAATATAAGATTAATTTAAAGATAAATAATTACTTTATTAAAATAAGATTCAATTAAAAATGTCTTATATTTTTTAATAGAGGGAGCATAAATTATAATTTGAATTTTTAGATAATATTAAGAATATATTTTAAAATTACTCTTTATAAAAAAATAACATGACATTTATTTGAGTCTAAAGTATATTTTTATTACGGTTGGTTTAATAAAACATCAATCCCAAAAGCAAAAGGAGCAAACGAAGCCTAATACCAAATGAAAGCAAAGTTCAGCTTGTTTTTAAAAGAAGTCATGCCATGCACGTATTTAGTATGACTCATAAGACTCAAAACGAATGAATATTAAAGGTAGTTGAGTGGACAGGTGATCGTTATCACCATCAATCTCCCAAGGCTATGTTGAGTAATCACAAATTTATTGCACATGTGCTCTGGATTCTTCATGCACAATCATCTTAGATATACAATTACAAAAGGTGCTCAACTAACGACCGATAACAACACAACCTACATAAAAAATTGTCTCATATTTAATTTTACCAATTATTTATCCTGTATTCGACAATTAAACTTAAGTTTATTTATAATTTATAAATTATAATCACTGCAACTTTGTATTTTATTTTTTTTATCAATCAAAAACTCCCTTTACACTAATTTTTTTGCATTTTCACATTCAGATAAATTGAAGGAAGTGAGCAAGGAGCTTGTATTCATCTTTAAGACTTTGCATCTTTAACATGCTTTATTTTTATTATTCAAACACAATATTTAATTCATGAAGAACAACATTATTTTTAAATTTTTTTGTATTAATATTGGTGAGGTTAATGGAAATTATTTATAAAAAAATTGAAGCAGCATCATATAAGTAGCTAGTATAATCGTAATATAACTTTCACTTGGCTTCATGAACTTAAGCTCTCATACATATATATTTTTAATAATATATTACCTGGTGTCCCCAAGCCAACTATTCACTGGATTGAGCCGAGTCAGCAAATATTTTTTTTTAAATAAAAGTTCCACTACGAACGGCTGTGGTACTTTCAGGACTCGTATTAGAGAATAATGAAAAATGGATATCAAGCTTTTCACATTTAAAATGTACTTTTAAAAAATTTCAAATGTTAAAGTTGTTTTGTTGTTAAAAAAAAATCGCAGCAGACTGAGAAAGTTTGTTGAAAAAGCTAAGAAATGTATTTCCTAAGAACTTTAACTTTTTACTGACTCAACAGTTTTCATTTTTCAGTTTGAACGGAACTTGCTCTGGCTATAATACCCTGCAAATATTTTCGTACCAAAAACTTATATATTTTGAAGTTTGAACAGAATAATTCAATTATTTTTTAATTTTTATAAAATCATTTTTTATTTTATAATATTTCCTACATTATTTTTATATGTTTTTAGAGATAGAATATTAATTATCGAAACCATTTATTTCAAAATGTATTTGTTTAAAATATGATCCTAAATTTATGATTTCTTAGATATTTTTTAACTCAAATATGCATTTCATTTCTCTTAAGTTACTATTCATGATTTAGTATATGTGAATTATCAATTTATATAAATCAATATACTAATAAATTTTTTTCAAAACTATGTTATTTATAAATTATTTTTTAAATATATCAATATTTGAATAACAAAAATTACTTACAATGAAACAACTATCCTTTCTAGTAATTTCACATTTAAAAGTAGCTTTCATTTTATATCATCTAAATACTTCTTCCGTCCAAAATATAAGGCATTTTTAATTAAATCTCATTCTCAATAAAATAGTTACTTATCTTTAAAATAACCTTTTTTATATATATTCTTATTTAATAAAATATTTTACCCTAAAAAAATATAAAGTAATATATTTAATAGGAGCACTTTTAAAAAAGGTAATGATTATGTATTAAAATACTCAAAATGTTTTATATTTTTAAACATTAAACCCCTTAAAAAATGTCTTATATTTATAAACGGAGGAAGTAACTTTTAATTTGTTAAATTAACTTCTTAAAAAAAAATATATCAACCAACACTCACCAAAAAAGTAAAAATATATTTAAATACAAATTTTATTGTAATAAATTTTTTTTGTCAAACTAATTTTTATGAAAATAAATTTTTTTGGCAAGCAAAAAATTAAAGGGAGAATTACAGCTAGCCTTTTCTTAAAAAAATTAATCACAAATAAAAATTAAAGTGAAATATATCATTGTTAAAATGAAAATATAATTTATTTTTTTAAAATGAGATTTGTTATTTATTTTTATATATAATTAATTTTTTTAAGAAGAAGCAGAATGTGATTTTTCAAAATCAAAAGAGCCCTTCCTTTTTTTTTTTTAGTGGAAAAGGGAATCCCATCTAAGAAAACTGCACAGGTGGAGAAAAAAAAATGGCAAAAGCCGAAAAAATTTGAATTTCAAAGGCTTTGTTGGTAAGGATCTCTCCTATCTTTTGCCATCATTGACAGACAAAATCATATCTGCCTTTGACGTAGTACTGTGGTTGTGGTGATAATTCAAATACTTTGATGTATTTTTGTTTAATTTAATAATATTAAAGCACAAAAAAAAAAAGCCCGAAGAAGGAATCCCTCTGAGAGATACAGTGTCCTATTGCCATATATCCGGCTCTTTTGGGATGAAAATTCAAATCTGACATCTCTTTGGCTGTGAAGAATCTTCGTACCAATATTACTCAGAAAAAGAAAAAGAGTATGCATAGGAATCCAACACGGCAACATTGGCCGGCCTGAAAGCGACTACACGGCAACCCTATTCATTTGCATAGCCTTGTTAGTCTGCTACTTCATTCATTACTTCCCCAGTTTCTCGTCTGAGCATTAATAAATAATATCATAAATTAATTATTTTGTCTGAGCATCAATCACTAAGAATCCAAAGTCTGGCACCAATCTTTTTTATTTTCACTTAAACACAAGACAAAATGAGAAAATTTCAGTCCAAACCCTTAACCAAACGTAATTACACAAATATTAGGAAAATATCAAATAAACTTTCTTTTAAATTTAAAATTAAAAAAATTAGTTAACCATAAAATACACACGAGGCTCGGTTTTCGATGGGAGAGAATCCCTCTCGAGTTTTAGAGAGGCCATATTGGATTCAACAATTGGAATATTTTAGGATTTTAATTATTTCAATCTCCTACAGTTGAAAGACCGGTCACCTTTCAAGCAACCATATTTGCAGAAATGCAAGCCAGAAACAAGGCACAAGATAGTTTA